AAAAATAAACATCAATGACTGTATCATTATACGCATTGTATTTAAATTTTAATCATTAATTGATCCCCCAATGTAATGAAAAACTCAATATTATGTAGACTAACAATTTCTGAAACACATGTAGATATATATACCAAAGCAAATCGTCATCCCTCTCATTCTGTTTGAAAAAATGGAGAAATTATAATAACAACATGATTTGTACAGATTTTACGATAGTGGAAAATTGCTTTAATACTTTTATGTTTTAAACACGTTTAGGACTATAATTTTTTTTTAGTATCTGTACATGTTTTTAAAATAATTTAAAAAAAATAATGTTACCAGGAATAGAAAATTGATAAAATTATAATTAATATTTCATAGCCAAATTAACACTTACGTTACTATTTATTTTCAAGATGAACGCCAAATAACATTTCCTTTGTTCTACCACAAAATCGTTCGGTGGCCCAGCCCCTTTACGCCTTAATATTAAGCGAACCGCCCCTCCACGGTGGCAGGGAGACTCAAAAGCACACCAACCCGCACTGTGGTACCCTAAAGTATGCACTGTTTCCTGTTAATAGATTCTAAAATCGATTAACGTCGCTACCCACCCCAAAAACACTCCACCACGACATACGCAACGAAATACGGTGCCAGTGGGGTATAAATTTAATTCACTGGCAAATCTTCTCCAGTATATTTCAGGTTACTGGCTGAAGTGTACCATTTAGTATCTTTTATTAAGTGAGTGCTATCGTATTCATTCATGATGTCCGGAGCAAGAACTCAAATTGCTGATTCATCGACTTCACCGTCTCTAAAGTAAGTTTTAAAAAATGTCACAAATATGTTTTTCGTTTTTTTTTTAACCGACATGTAATGAACTTTTAAAGTTAATTTAAATACAACTAATCAACAAAATCTTTAATAAATTTTAAATTCACCAGTGACAATCGACATTTAGACTACAGCGGTCTGAAGTTTTCTTACCCGGATGGGTCTGACGAGGAAGGCAGTTCAGTGACTCCGGAGCTGCCGTCATGTGTCTACGCTGCGGCCCGAAGCCGACTCCAGTTGCCTTTAGCAGCATACGTTCACCAACACACGAGGCAAATGCATACAGGTACAACAAAACCTTTTTATATATTATAATAAATGGACACAAAGGTAGCTTAACGTGTTCAGTCGGATAACGAAAGAAGAGCAAATAAAATTCCAGTTGAAAAACGTTTATTACTAGTTAATTTGAAACAAACTAATTTTAATAAGTAGTGAAATTTTTAAGAATATTTTCTAAAGTAATTTCTTCTTTCTTTTCTTCTTCTTTGCGTGCACTACCAAAGAGAAATAAATTTAGTTTGCGTAGAATTTTAAATAAGATATTATGAAATCTTGGTGTGGCGTGCAAAAAATAAAATTAAAGTTTGCAATGCGCTTTGTTAACATCTTATTAGATGCATGCAATCTTAAACCATCGAACAAATTTAAAAATTAAACTTTTGGTTGGGTGTTCTGAAATTGCTTGCTAATTATTCTGGCCAATAAATCTATTACCAATTTTGAAATTCATATACCATTATTGAACATGTTTTTAATATGAATTATTCCTGTACAACTTAAATATAAAAAATAAACCAGCTTATTTTGTAGGTTGTAATTATAATGACCTACAGAATAAAGAATTAGAAATGTAGAAGTACCGAAAGAATTTAAAAAAATATATATTGACTGAACGGCAGTGATGTTTGGGATTTTTGATTGAACTCGGAGTAAAAAGTTTTTCAGTAGTTTGATTGTAGCCGATTTATCCATCAATGTCGTACGCGTTTGCATGCGTATGAACATCGCAATATAAAGTCGCAATGAACAACACCGTCTATGTTGCATGGAAAATGTTTTGTAGATCTGTTGAAATTGTTTTATTTAAATGTAGATCTCACTCACGTATATAACCCGATGGGAAAAGCAAAGATATCATATTTTCATACGACATTTATACGATGTTCCAAACTTAGACCTTAAATGTATATTTATATAAACAAAATAACGTCACTTATTGCACACTAGGTGTCGCCCGTGACTCCGTCCGCGCGGAATTAAAAAAACTACTGGTCGCAGCGTAATGTTATATAGCCTAAAGCCTTTCACTGTAAATGGACTATGCAACAAAAAAAGAATTTTTCAATACGGACCAGTAGTTCCTGAGATTAGCACGTTTAAACAAACTCTTCCAATTTATAATACTGATATAGATGGCAGCTAACATCGTGTGGGATCGTGGCAATGAACTAGTTATTCTCGAGATAAAATAAATAGTTGAGAATCAGGAGGGATTACTGAAAAGTAACATTGGTAAAGAAAAGAAGTTGTTACAGAAGCCTTGCTGGAAGCAACTGTGGAGCCGGAGTACCAATGCGGCGGGTCGCCGTATCGCGTCCAGAGAGCCGCGGCCAATGTGCGGGAGCGCCGCCGCATGCTGAGGTCCGGCCCCAATGGGTAGCCTTTTTCATTTTTGTATCAAACTACTCAGGACAGCTGTAAACAGACAGCTTAAAGCAGCAGCGGCAACTACTAGTGTTGCCGGAAGCACGCCTTATATCTGTCCGTGTACAAACTCCTTTAGCCGTAATACGAGTGACGTCAGAAAATTAGAAACGTCCTTAATTTATTATCTAATTAGTTTTTAAAATTAAATGTAGTATCATTAGATTTCAAATAGACCTTTTTTATTCTGATTCTACTTCATCAAAATAACGAAACATCTTGTTGAAGTATCCAAAAAAAAATAGTGATAGTTGTTTTATTATTTTTTTGTCGGGAAAAATCATACAGAACTTTAACTTCATTTTCTCTTATAGTTCATGTAGCTATAGAGTCATATGCTACCTCTTTTATTATTATAGTAATAAGAAATTGTAGAAAGTCGCCTTACTTTTGCTTAAAAGAAATCAAGGTCATTTTCATATTGTGATGGAGATGATTGAAATGACCTTATATCAGACAGTTGGCCAGACGACAACTCACAATAATTACTGATATACTGTTCTTAATACCTATTTTTAATAGCGACAATAATACCTAAACAATATTGGCCAAATATCGAAATAAACCTAGTATGGACTTGGACTATTTCATTTGCTAAAACGGTGGTGTTTTGTTGTGATTTTAGCAGTATAAACTCGGCGTTCGACGAACTGCGCGTCCACGTGCCGACTTTCCCGTACGAGAAGCGACTTAGTAAGATCGACACACTGCGCCTGGCCATCGCATACATAGCCCTGCTGAGAGAGGTTACTATTTTACTAATTCATTTTCATCCATTAGACATTTTTTAAATATTTATTAGGGTTGTCAAATTTATCAAGCGTCGTATTACTAGCGTAGCTACACTTCCGCTAAAAAATTAGGAAACAAAACAAAGCTTATGAAATATTTTTGGTTACATATTAATGAGTTGGGGCAACCCTAATATGAGCGTTTACGACTAAACATAGCGATACAAGTGAGGTATTGCTGCATGGTTGTCAAAAGTCGAAATTTGTATAAGTATTTTTTTTTATTCCTTTAGGTCTTGGAAGCCGATTACGATCCTTTGACATACGTAGAGAAATGTCTCCGCGGTGAAATCAAGGCAGATCGTGCACATTGGAATACGAGCGGTAAGTAAATAATCTGCTTGACCAAATAGACAACAGGCTCGAATGTCACTTTCAAATACTGCATTCTATTTCCATAATACTTATTAGAACTTTCCACGCCTGAGAAAGCAAATATCTGATTCAAGGTCACATCAAAACTCTAAAATAAAATGGCATAAAATTTCTGCAAGGACCACTACAATTCGAAGTAATGCAAAAAGAGTCATAAAAAGCCTTTCCATTCTGTAAATTCTCTACATACTATGTATATTATCGTCTTTAACGTTTAATTACATCATTAATGTATATCTCTGTTGTTCATAGATCTGACTGCCCGGCTATCTTGGATAAATTGGGAAAATCTCGGTGTTAACCCTCAACGTCGAAGTATCCTCACGTCTCTTGCTCTAAGCTCGGAGAACCTGCAATACTCTCATAACTAAATTTTGTACTCTTAAAAATTCTACTCCAACATATTCAATATAATCTTTCTCCAATTACGCATCGTATTATAATAGAAAAATGTCTAGTCATTTTAATATGTTTTTAAATGTTAATTGTTAGTAAACATTTAGGTTTATTATGATATACCTACATATTATGAAACATAATAGATTTTAGTAAGTATAGTGTTGTAACTTACAAAATTTGTTCTCTACAATGTAGTCAAAATAATTTCGTTTAGTTTGAAGTGGGATTCCAATCACAATCTTAAATTAACTTTGAATGAAGCTATATAATACTGTGTCAGTATGTCTCTCTTGCCGCAATGGAAACCCATTACACTAAACAGTATGCTGTTATTAGTAGAAAACTGTTATAACTGTTTTATTTATATCATCGATGTTTCATATTTATTATTGTATACTTATATGCTTGCATTTTATATTATATATTTTGTAATAATATTCAAAAAGCTACAATATTGAAAGTACGGTCAACAAGAAACAAATGTATACAAAAAGAATGCAAGAGGAAATTCAGGGGTGCGTAACTATTTCAGCCCCGTATTATTTCCATGAAATTTAATATAATTTAAAGTGTTTTTAACGTAGATTAAAATTTTATATCGTTTAGTCTTCCATATGCATATAAAATATTCTATCGCTTTTACTTAAACTTGTAATTGTTAATATTTAAATAGTAAAAAAAGGTGCAATATAGATTAATTTTCAGTTATTGCCAATCTATTGTTAAATGGTTATCTATATATAAATATTTTGTAGATTAAACTATGTATTCAAACATTATTAAAAATGTATGCAAAATGGATAACCATTATGTATTAACTATGATAGAAAAATATAACTCTATAAATATAATCTAGATGGTTTTTAGCTTACTATAAATATATTAAAAGTCATTTGGTGTTTTATTTCACGCACTTTATTTTCCAAATACAAAATCGGTAAACATTCTTATAAAATCAAATATTATGGTAATGAGTTAGTCTTGATCTGTTCCTTTTTCATCCACCAACCCCTTTTTATATAGATGTCGGAATTGTTTGGAGGTAAAAAATTGAGTAAAGTTGTGGTGTCAGATGGAATACCGAAATCTCTGCCTACACCTTTTAAAATTCATCACAAGCGACATACAAAAAATTCAACTTACACGCTATTCTAACAGAATAATGTACTCCATAAAATCTTGTATACATCGATTTTTACTTTTATATAATAAAATTATAAAATAAATTAATTTACGACATTTCTTACATATTTAAGGGAATGTAACTATACAAATGGAAGCGTCTTCATTAAAAGTTCAAAACAATAAATAAAAATGTTGTAAAATCTACAAATCTAGACAGACGACTTTGGCGATCTCTTGTGTCAGCGGCAAAGACCCACTTCGCGTCACTGCGCCAGACGAGTTAGTAAAATCTATAAAACTTCTATGGCCAGTCTTCCATTACATTATGTATGGTATGCCATGTTAATCCATTGCCTGATGGTCTATGACTAGATGGTAATAAGATATGCCTAATAAAAGTTCTACCTTGAACCAATCCAAGAAATAACTTCCAATTCTTGCTTCTGCCAAAATCATATGGATTTCTATAAAGATTTCTGGGTGTTTTCCGTAATTTTGCATTTATATGGCTTTCAATACTTGTCTCTCCTCGACCTATATTCTTTCCATGCCACGTAACTAAAGTACCTAAAGCGAAAAATACTGACAAACAAGTTATTGCCATAAATATAACGGCTTTCCGTTTCCATGGATCACTACTAATGAGTTGTAATTCTGATATGACAGGTACAGGTAGGTTGTGTTCCCTTGGGAAGTTAAAAGAATCATACTCTACAATGTCTTTGATAGGTATCAGTGCACCCGTTTGATTTATCCGGACCGGATGACCAATTAAATCAGGATCATTATGTGGAATGTTAGCACCTGCAATAAAATAATATATGTAAATAATAATAAAATAATGATAAAACTATGAAAAAGAATTATATTTTATCTGTTAATAACAAATTTCAAAGATGAAAATTAAGAAATACAGCAAAAAAAATCATGTATATTTTACAATTTGACAGATTAATGTGTAAATTATTTTTTTTAGGCTGACAACAAACAATTAAATATGAAACAAATGATAGTGTACATTGTTTTTGGCTATTTTACTTACTTGGATCATACAACCATAGTACTTGGAATCCGATTTCAAAACCAAATATTATTACAAACAACACTCCAGCAACCATGTACACCATATAGAGAAAGAAATGTCGAGCATTGTAGTAACCAACACAGTTGTTAAGCCAAGGACAATGGTGGTCCATGGCAAGGATGCATCTGTCACACACAGAGCAGTGGTGGGTACGTGGGGGCTTCGGTGATATACATTTCTTACAAATACTAGCCGCTTCTGATATCATTGTGCCCTTAAATAATACAAAAAAATTCTTACTAATATGATAAATAACAATGTTTGGATGGATGTTTGTTAAAGGATAGCTTAAGAACGGCTGCATGGATCTTGCTGAAATTTGGCATGCATGTATGGCATAGTCTGGATTAACACATAAGATACAGCGACTTGAGGGCGACAGCTAGTTTTGTAATATCCCAACTTCTAATGTAACTAGCTGAGATTGAAGTAAAGTTGGCAACCCTAGTTGTTATGAATAGAAATAAATATGTATAGACAAATATAAAAAATATCAGTTTTTTACTTATAGAACAGCATTCTAGTAATTAACCAATTTTAAAATTAGTTTTGTAGGTTTTTGGAGCCAGTCAAATAATCAATTCTTTTTTGTTTCATTAATATAGAAGTCTAAAATACTTACATGAGGGGGATAACCAGGGGATGTAGTAACTCCTTTATAATAATGAAATATTATGTTAAGTAATAGCCAGTTACCAAATAGTACTAGAAATATTGTGGTATAAGGATCCCGTTGCCACCAAAACGGCAAACCAATCCAATATGCAATCAAGACAACAGCTGTTGTCAATACACTCACACAGAAAACAAATACCTGAAACATGTAAATTAACATGTACAATTTGGTAAAAATGTAGAACACAGCCTGAAACAACATATAAGCTACCTATTATCCAGGAAATGTGTATGGTTCCTATGGGATATGTTTGACTTGCATATTTACTTCATTTCTCCACGAAAGTTCATATTTTATTGGAATTTGGGGTAGATGTACACTGGAGCAAAATAGGTGTTTGAGACTATGAGTAGCAAGATAGACCTCATTATAAAAGAGCATAGACTTACTTGTCCTAGATTACCAGCAAAGTTGTCCACTATCCAAAATATGGGCTCCAGTAAACAGTCAATCACATAACTTTGGCTCATATGTTCATTGTATGTTAGAGAATGTATTGTCAACCGCATCTGAGCAAGCTTCCATAATAAGTACTTTCTAAAAAAGAGGAAACTGTGATATGCGCTAAACAGTATCTTCACTTAGTATATATATATATATATGTGTGTGGATGTATATTTAACAGTAGCTTACTTTATACTCGGAAGTATTTCTCTCCATTGAAACCGCCAATTGATGATAGCCATGATTGTGTTTATAATAAACACTAGTAGTATTTTATGAGTTGTCGCGTAACTTCTCTTATTAAATTTGAGTAATTTTCACATGATTTTTTTTATTTTCATCAACTTGGTAAAGTTAATAGTAAATGTTGCAAATACTATTTAAAAACATGCTTAATCCCCCAGACTATGTGAATGAATCAATGAGATGCAAACCGTAAAAAGAGAAAATTTACAGTTTTCAACTAGCATTTTAATAATTTTTGTACGGAGATTTTTTAAATTTAATAATGATCAAAAAAAGTTCAACTAATAACCAAGCAGACTGCCTGTATACCAACGATGACAATGATATGTAAGACAATGTCACTGAAAAACTTGTATAAATAAGCTCTAACATTGAGTTACGGCTCAATAACAAAATCTAAATTGACATCTCATAGTCAGGGCTCAACGCGATATACTGTAACTATATCTGAGGCAACGAGCGGCGAGCTGTCTGGTAACAGGTCGAAACTAAATCATAACACTATGTAGGTACAAATTGAATTGTCAGTGAGTCCATTGATTTGCTTCACCCATGTGAGCTGATCTGCAGGCATCAATTTTACTCGAGTACACGACTAGACACTGTCATTAGTCATGGCAATTAATAGTCAATGTCCGACATTCACTGTCAAGTTGATAACGCCAACTGTCACCCTGACGTTTACCTCTATTAACAAAGAGCAAACATTTCCTACAAAGAGAATAAAAATGTTGTAATAAATATTTCATTAAATTCAGCCTTTGTTACCACCATTGTAATAAAATATGTAAGATATCCGACCAATTCTTTTAATTTAACACGATTTAAGTAGTTGTTTATCTTTGTAGTTTCACAATTATAACATAAAAAATCACTATTTTCACCCGACATTTGTTTGTCTTTGGTTTTGGTGATTTGGTATTCTAAATTCTGAAGTTCTGAATCTGATTCTGACGGTGACGGATATTCGGAAACACTTAGGAACCACCTTGCATTAATTTGTCTGTGTCTGTGTACTTGTATTGTGTACTGTTGTCGAAAAGTATTACCATTGCGCTACGATTACGAGTTTACGAATACTTGACGAAACGAGTTCAATTGGTATCGGTCACAAATACCAGTTAAGTGGGTTATCCAGATTTAGTTCGCAGTAATAACATAATAATAGTATTGTGTGTTATTGTCGACAAAAAGCAATGATTGTGGTGTTAATGTTTTAACAAATATGTTCTAAATAATAATTTCTATACTACATCTTGTGTAAACGGCTACAACGTTCAATATAATACAGGTATTTAATTATATTTTTGGCGAAATAAGGACATTTGTATTATCACTTTAATCTTAAATATTTTAAGAAGAACGCAATTTATGTTTAGTGAATTACGTTCAAACGGGTGGAGTACGGGTAGAAAACGAATACGATAGATAATTTGCAAATGGATGTTCAGGTTTACGAATTTCGAAATGTGTGAAATATGTGTTTTCTATAACATTGAATAAATTTTGCAGTAGAACAACTACAGAACTAACCATGGAAGACGACAGTGATGATAAAGATGATTCAAAAAGGTAAGTTTGGCTATAAACAACTTGCCTTTATAATTCTTTTATGTATGAAATACAAACATTGATTTCTCAGACTATATAATGTATAACACATATATATTATTTGTTAAAGGTGCTTTTGACCCCTCTGCAATGAAAATGTTAAAGATTTTTAGTATGAGTTGTATAAAAATAAAGTAAATGTAACAAACAATGTAATCTATTGAAGTGTTTGCAATGCCTACTCAGTATGGATGTAATGTTGCACCATTTACAAATTAATATTCACCCCAGCTAACTCCTCTGACACTGCATTCATATGAAAATTTTGTAGCATCAAACATTTTAACATGGAAATAGGTCAAAGTTGTTTCTTTAGTGTTTATAATGTTTTGCATGATGTGCGTCATATAGATGCAATTTGTATAACAGGAGAACCCGCAACTTGAGCGAGAAGAAACGTCGAGATACCTTCAATATGCTTGTAAATGAGTTATCCTCAATGGTTACCACTAGTAATAGGAAAATGGACAAATCTACAGTACTAAAGTCAACCATATCTTTTCTAAAGAACCATAATGGTACGTCAATTGTGTAATAAATATTGCATTCTATGTTTTCAGTTGTCTGAAACTAATTAGTAAATTCATATGTCTTGTTGTAGAAGTGACTGTTAGGTCTAGGGTTCACGATGTCCAAGAAGATTGGAAACCCGCTTTTCTTTCCAATGAAGAATTTACATACTTAGTGCTTGAGGCCTTGGAAGGTTTTGTCATGGTTTTCTCAGCAACCGGGCAAATCTATTATGTTTCCGAAAGCATAGCTTCCTTGTTGGGACATAATCCGGTATGGATTTTATTCATAATACTTATTTATTTAACCCTCTTATTTCTTCTGAAAATTTGTAAATTTTCATAAAAATTAGTATATTTTTAATGGTCTCTTTTAAGAAACTTAATATAATAATATGAATTTTTGTAGGCCGACTTGATAAATAAAAGCATTTTTGATTTGGCATATGAAGATGATCGACCAAATTTATACAGTCTTCTTCAGAATCCAGGCGCTGCCATTGATCCTACTCAACCTTTTGTGAGAGGTTAGTTATTGATTATTTTTTGATGTTTTGCATATTCAGATTACACAAACTTTTAACAAATAAATACAACTAATTCACAAGTATATATTTTAGATCATAGATTGATTTTATTAGTTCTCATAGTAACTCACTCCTATTATTCAGCTGTTGCCCGCGACTGCATTCTTGTGGAGGATCCATTATTAAATTTATGCAATAAGAATTTAAAATTTGTCTCAATATCCAACTCATTTTATTAGTAGTTGCCTAATGCTGTGCGTAAATTTAATATTATAAATGCAAATATTTCAATGCGTAAATGGATGGATGTTTGTTAGTAGGTATCTCCAGAATAGCTGAACGGATCTTGATGAAACTTGGTATAGATATAGAACACACTGGAAGAATACATAGGCTACTACTTATGTTTTTTTTATTCTGCATGGACTTCTTTAAATATTATCATAAAACCTGACCTATCAAGATACATAGAGTTTGTTGAATTTAACATATTTGCTATGTGTCCTATATGCAACGGTGGGAAGTGGAAGCCTTTGTTTGTTCACATTAGAGTAGCGGGCGCGAGCGCGAAAATACTAGTATTGTAATTAATGTTGTATGAGAATCTTCATATTGAATACACCAGGCCCAAGCCCACCGATGACTATGCAGTAAGTGAAGTAGGCAGTATAGGTAGCATTTTTGCATTAAATGTTGCATCTTATTGCTTGTAGCGATTTCTTTGCGATCTGGGCTCTCTATATCATGAAATATTTTTAATAAATATTTAAATAAAAAGATTTGATGGTCCATTTTATAGCGTTTTATATTTGTCCTATGTATGAATGTAGACATCTTGGTGACAATGAAAATTATTTATATACTTTTACTTCAAGTTTAAGTTGACATTAAAGCTTATATGGAGTGTCTAGGAAAGAAGTGTACAACAGAGTGCCAAAAAACTACCTTGGTCGAAAATATAACTGTTTAACTTCTATGCAAAGTTGCATAGTTTAGGCCCTAGAGGCCTTCAAAGTGAAATACACAACATTTATTGGTCATTCCAAGACATCCTGTAAACAAATTTGGAACCGAACAAATGGAATTCGTTAATGGATTTCGATCTGCTTGTTTACTATTACGTAATGCTGTGCGTCAGCCTGCTGCGTATTGAATCCTTTTTTCTTATGCAGTAAACAAATCTAGAAATCCACGTGCGTCGCCAATCAACTGCGAATTTCATCATAATTTTTTTGGATGTTTACAGTTGTACGCCGATATTTAAATATCAATGTATGCGCCTTTATTACTATACTAAGTGCATCTTGATATATTTTTAAATTAAAGGTTTGTTAAATGTTCGATAAAATCTACCATCCATTACTGTATAGGTTACCTGTTGACCTATTTAATCTAACTGGATGGTATTAAGAAATGCCTATCCAGGAATAGAATGTCACAGACAGATGATAATTTATAATTTTTAAGTCAAAAGTTAAGCAAGCGAAATAAGCCCTAAAATGAAGCGATGTCGCGAGCAACAGCTATATTTAATCGCAACTCTCAAACATCTATTGCATATTACACAATATTACGCAATGCATGTACATATGTACATATATGTTAAGCATAGAGACCAGGCTCGATTGGTACTGCTGCACACTGGACAGTATTTCGGCATTCATAGACATTTTTGTTTATATTTTAAGTTTAATTTGCTCGTATATACTTCGTATCACTTATTACATGTCTTATAATGTTTAACTTATTAAATATGGATGCGTACGGCGCTGCTATAGTTATTCCTTCGAAAATTTCTGTGGAGACCATAGATGATATTTGAAACGTGAAAAGCTCCTTCTTATTGGACCATAAATAATTTTAAAATCTTACCAGTACTCTATTATGGAGTATGCCAAAGTTCTAAATAAATCGCAATCGTGCGATAATTGAGTTGTCGCCGATTTTAGTCTCACTCCATACAAATTGTCAGGGGAAAAATTCAAATATCATTAATGCATTGACATACATTACATGTTATGAGACATGTATTTCTTACACTGGATATTCAGCAAAAAAAAACACTTAAAAATATTAGACGAAAATGTCTAAAATGTTGCCCAGTGTGTGCCGCCCTTCAGGGCACGTGTTTAGGCGCGGCGTTCACGTGACCGGTCACGTGGAAGATTTGCAAACTTGATGTTGAAGTGAGCTCGCTTAACGCAAATCCCTACTAAAGATTTAGGTTACAGTTTAAGTAAACAAAAAATTTTTAAGTCTCTTGTGTTCGAAGTTACTGGAATTTTTTATTAAGCTTGCCGAATTATATTGAATTTTTAACGTGACCAGTGAACTTGTGATTTCTACTTGTCTTATATAAACGATACGTTTCCATTGCCGAAACCTGTACAAAACTGCGTCATCTATCGAAAATACAATGTTATATCTATCACAATTTTGTATGTTTGTTGTGGTATTAAATAATTATTACTAAGTATATAAATGATAATAATTAACAATAATTGCATTTATTTCAGAGAACGAGATCAGATTCCAATGTCACTTACGTCGTAGTACATTGGATTTTAGAGATGATGCAAGCTACGAACTTATTGAATTCAATGGACATTTCCGTAAGTGATATTCATAAGTAGCGTGTGCATTTTTTTAAGCGACATGTGCATTTTTTATGATCTTAAAAAATATTTTACTATGATGCATTTTAATTTACATAAATATCAGAACATTAAACATTGATTGCAACAAACTTAATGAAGTCATTGTTTTTTTCCTTTTAGGTACTAATATGGAGCATAACGAAGCTGACGAAATGTCTGGATATCAACAAGAACACGAGTCAAGGTAAGAATGATAATACTGTAGCATCAAGTACTAATAAAATTATTTTGAACTTTGTACCCCTTTTTAAAGAAATGATTGGTACGGATGAGCTTCATTTTGACACAAAGCAAATGGAGAGAAGTGCACAAAGAAATTTTAATCAAATAAAAAATCTTTTGTATGCATTATGACCGACTTTCAGCCTTGGCCGGCAAACATGTTATTATTAACATATAAAGAGAAAAATAGGTTACCGTTGAAGCAAATATGTTTCTCAATTTATAAATTAAACTTTAAAGGAAAAATTTAAATAAATATTGAAATATTTAAATATTGTATTCAATTATTTACATTGAAAAGACTTGGTCAATTTTCATATAATTCTAAATCGGAAAATATTATCCATTTAAACTTTCAATCCCTATTTCTATTTGAGTTCAAAAACAATATTTTTAGAGCTTACATAGTAACAAAAATCTGTGCAAAATTACAAGTACTTCGGCCTGAAAGTTTAATTTAAAAGTTAATATTGATTGATCCCGAATGATCGAGATTGAGTTGGCTCGAATTATTGCCCTCTTATTGGTATAATTTGCTCACGTTTTATAATTTGAATTGATTTAAAGGTATTTATTTATAGATCTGTAATATTGAGACCAGTAATTGCGGATAAATTCACCACTTTCATACGATAATGATAGTTATTTAGTAATTGTATTTTTAAGTAGGGTGGGTGTCAGACTCGGCCGTAAAAAAAGCCAAAACATATAGGCTTATAAACCTTAATTATCCTTACCCCACGTAAAATTGTGACTAGGCCAGGGAAATGATGATCTATAGTAAATTTATTCTATATGTATCAAAGAGCAATCGTAGTTCTTGGTGTACCTCGGGTCTAACAAGTAGGATTACTATGTAGTTAGGGAGAATGTTCAGTTTATTAAATCTTTTACTAAGAAGCCGCACGGTCGCGTAGTCGTGGCGCTAGAATTTTGTACTAGAGTAGAAAATATGTCATATTATTATTATACTAAAATTAAATGATTAAAAAAAACATTGCTGTAACGAAAACAACGACAACACGGCTTCTTTCAGTGTTTATATAATTACGATTTCGTTGAAATTTGTCGGTTATAAATTTTCAAGTTGAGTTGTCGCTGTGCCGTCGAACCCTTTAGTATCCTTGCGGACGTTCAACTTAGAAGGCTTAACTACTGGCTGTTTCGGTTTCAGATTGCTGTTTGTGTGTACCGGCCGGCTGTACACTCCGCAATTAATTCGTGACGTTTCTCTTGTTGATACAAATCGTAATGAGTTTACCTCACGGCATAGTTTAGAGTGGAAGTTTCTCTTTTTGGACCATCGCGCTCCGCCTATTATCGGATACTTACCGTTTGAAGTGTTGGGCACCTCCGGCTACGACTACTACCATTTTGACGATCTTGAAAAGGTCGTAACTTGCCACGAAGCATGTAAGTAAAGAGTTTTATACATTGTAATTTTTTTTTAATTCTATTATTTTAATGGCATTTTCGATTTACACATTTCATAATGGAAAAAACTGCATTAAACATTTGTAAAAAAATAATTTTATTTAAATTTACCAAAGCAATTCTTTAAATCTTTCGAGCGCAATAAAACATATCTATTTAAAATATTTATATTAGGATTTATTCTGATTATACTTAAGCGCTACGTACATCGTTAGAAAAAATAGTTTTTCTTTCATATTTATTTATAACTAGCAGTCGCCCGCGGTTCCGTTCGCGCGGAAATAAAAAAACATAGTCAATAAAGTTCAAATTGACTCTACAGTATTTATATGGGAAAAATAAAAGGGTTGTTTTTAGGGTTTTCCCGGCAATTATTCGAATTTTTCTTACCTTTTAAACCTTCTCGAGACCTCCACGAACATTTCAAGACCAGGATAAGATAAATCTGTTCAGCTGTTCTCGACTTTTAGCGAGACTAACGAACAGCAATTAATTTTATATACTTATTTGTTATTTATTTTATAGTGATGCAAAAGGGCGAGCTGACATCGTGCTACTATCGGTTCCTGACCAAGGGCCAGCAGTGGATCTGGTTACAGACTCGTTTCTACATAACATACCACCAGTGGAACTCGAAACCAGAGTTCGTCGTTTGCACACATCGGGTGGTCAGGTGGGCCCCGTAGTTATAATTAGATTTTATATTTTTTTAATCACAACTATTTTAGAAATTAAATTTCAGATGATTGTTCTTTATATAAAAATATAATAGACTAGCTGTTACCCGCGGCGCCGTCCGCGTAGCATATGTGTATTCCAAGACTATGATCTACATCTATGTCAAATTTAAGCGCGAACCATGCAGCTGTTCTGACCTAACAAACATCCATTCTTCTAAACATTCAAATTTATAATATTAGTATAATAATATTAAGAAGTAAGTTTATTTTGTTTTGTATATATTTAAAAATATTTATAACTGTAATAAATATTAATAAGTTTTACACGTAAAGTGCGATTTAAGTCGTGCCAAAATTTCGTTAGATAAAAAATAAAAAGTGATGCCATAATATTACGCTTAAATACTTTTGTAAACTTAAATGGCATCACACCGATTAAATATTATTTTTTTTGTCCTTGAGTATAGGTTAATTGTAATTATATATGCAGTTACGCCGACGTTGTGAAGAGCACAAAACAAGAACAAACAGAAATGGAAGGCGCAAGTGAGATGGATGCCAACCAATGTGGCAAAGAGGCGGCGCACGAGACTGGAATGGTGCCCTTATCATCTCCTACTTACATGTCAGATGCTGGAGATACTTACGGTAGCTCCTATCAAACTATTTCACAGGTAAGTCTTCTATATTTTATCTTGTTTTTTTTATTTATTTTTTTCTCCAACATTACATCTTTCAAACAGATCTGTATGGTGTTACTTGTTTTTAATCACTTCAATTTTTTTCTTTGGCGTAACTCTACGATTATGAAGCTTGTTAAATTAAAAATCAATAAAAAAAAATTACACTGGTGAAGTAAGGGATGGCATGTGTCAAAACTAATATCCAAAAACAATTAGCTCTACTGGCACCCTGGGGGAGATTTCTACGGCACTTTTTACCATGGGTTTAGGGAGAGGGCTTAAGTAAGACACCACTTCGTAGACCTGTGGCGCCTTTTCAATCCAGCGCCCTGGGCGGTTGCTTAACCACGTTAATCCCTATCACCAGCCCTGCTAATGCTCCTGCGGTTGAAACTCGTAATAATAATAATCCGGTATAACATTACAGCCAGATTCTGTGAAGTCGGCGTCGGGTAGTACTAGCGGTACAGTGACGACCGTTTGCACTGCGGGTACAACCGCGTCATGGCCGCACGGTAACCCTAGGTACATGGGTTCCGACAACGGATCACTGTCCGGGGAATCACGATCCTCGCATCGGAATACTAGAGAGGTTATTAACACTTAATTAATTTGGATCCAAATGCAAAATGTTTTAATTTTTTATAGAGCCTATGCGTTATTCGAGGCTGTATCTAGAAATATTTTAAATTTTATTCAGATTCAATCAGCTATTCCTAAGTATACATCCAAATTATTGGTATCTAGCTGATGTGTGCGGGAGTAACTTAGTTTACTTTTTTATTTATTCTGCGCTGATGAAGTCGGAGGCAATCGCTATTTTATTAATATAAATATGAAACAATTTTATTTTATATATAGCCGAAGCCCTTGGCACAGAAGCAAAACGATTACGGGCCTTGTCATGGTAACATGATGATGTTCTCGCAGACGCACAAGGTTTTGGAGCCCACGCTGGTACCGCAGTACGGTATAGGCGCGCAGTATTTGGAGCCTGCGCCCTACGTAGGCGCAGTAGGAGTCCCCGGAGTACTGCCCGTGTCATTGCCACCCCTACCAGTTATCGTGTCACCTGACCAAACGCAAATGCAGGTGAGTTTCGCGAAGACTGTCAGAAATATTCTATCTCTTTTTTTTGTTCTAACAAAATCTTTTTTTTTTAAATTATGAACATGATTTCTTTTGATAGGCAATGAAAATATGAGTGTTTGCTGTTCGTCCGATCGGCCCATCAATGAATTGGCCCAATAGGATATCTTTTCCCCTTTAATCAATAAAAATATATGTACATTGTGTATTTAATTATTTTTAGAACGAATTTCTCTACTCAACCTGTTGGGCCGATTCTTCGGTGGACCGACTGGACGATCGGGAAACATCCGAATACATGGATTTCTTATTTAATATTAAATTATAATTATTTTTTTTATAAATTTTAGCTTTATATATATATTTATATATTTATTTATATGCAAATGTAAACTGCACCGCAAGTAATTTAAATATATTTAATATAATAATCTTCATAATGAATATCTAAGTATACATTATGAACAGTATTATATTTAATATACCTAAATATTTATTATTTATTATATCTTATGTATATCTAAAGATATCTAAATGCGGTTTATGCAGTTAATATTTGCATCTATATTTTGACAAGGTATTTGACTTTATTTCTTCTTGATTTATATAATAAAAGGCTGATTAAACTTTTTATAATCTTTTTAGACACAAAGTGCTCCACAAATGTGGAATTACTGGGATTATAACTAAAATAACAAAACCACTTACACCCATTGAATCTGATTCTATTTGGCACGGTCAGGACACATGTATCTCGCTTCCTCAACAGCTATACTACACATGCATGCTGTGTGTAACCGTAGATTTTTACTGCGAAAACATTATACATTTAAAATAAGTGATTAGGAATAACATCTTATATCGGCGTATTGACAGTCGAAAACTACGGTTGTTTTTACTTAAGAAAACTTTTTTTTCGACCTTACTCTTCCATGTACTATCTGGGAATCTGGCGGTATTCCACCTTAAAAGCGATAGTCGTTTAGCGACGTCGTGGAAACAATAACCAATAGAAGGCAGCTTTTAAATGGATCTTTAAGACTTCTTTTAATTACTTTTTACTGCTATGACATCGTTTGAGCAACTTACTGGTACACAATTGGTTATTTTTTAAAAAGGGGCTGAGTTTATCTCTTTTCGAGTAATAAGGCAATTTTTCTATAAGTGGAACACCGCAAAGGGTCCTGACAGTACTATATTTAATATATTGACCTCGATGTGCCTTTATTTTATTGATTTCATGTACTTTTAAATCGTAAAGCATCGATGTTGCCTATATGTTATTTTAAAGAATAAACAGTGGCTTTTAATTATTTTATGGATTGATGTGTATAAAACTATTTACTGCTATAAATAATTTTGTTTACTGGCTTAAAATAATGCTTCCTGAAAGTTTAATAACAGTGTATTTTAACCCAGAAATACTTTGTAATAAAGACCAATAATACCGAATAGAAAAACCATATTGTTCCTTCATATTCGGGATTTGTCACAATAGTTAAGTTTAATTATTGTCACGAGGACTACATATTTAACCGACTTCAAAAAAGAGGAGCTTTTCAATTTATCTGTTTTTATAATACGACATTTAATATTTAGTAATTCACACGACAATTTACACAATTTTTACTACTGCAGTGTACAGACAATATAATATACTAATGATATCATAACACCAGGTTCAAATAATTTGCTATAATATAGAAAAAACAATTTTTTGAACTTCAAGTCCACCATGAAATATTGAGTGATTTATTAATTACTAGCTGACCGTTGTCCGACAGATACCTGTCTTACTATGAATATTGAATTGAAATGTCCCGTATTTGCAAATGTTTTATAGCTTTTTTTATTACAATCGTCCTGACAAAAATCAACAGTAAAAAAAATAACGAAGGTCCATGTTGAGACATGATGGACGTAGGGAAGTAGAGATAAATTTATGTATAAGTATTAATTTTAAATGTAGATTAAAATGGTGGAGCACTGGACGCCTTGTGTTAGTAGACAGGCATTTAATGTTTTACTTTCGCATACTTGTAGATAAATATCTTACTTCGTACCGGCTGTTTAAATGTACCTAGCGTTGTTTTGAGGGTTTTTAATTTGCTATCCCGGCTGAGGTTAAAATAGTCAAATACCTTGTGGGTGTGGTGGGCGGTGGTTGTGGCGATGTGATGCGAGTTGGCGACAGCGGCAGGAGCAGCTGCAGAGGAAACATGAGGAGCTGCAGCAGATGATCGTCAGGCAACAGGAGGAACTGCGCCAGGTCAAGGAACAGCTGATGCTCGCGAGACTTGGCATATTACAGCCCCTCGTTAATGTAAGTACAATACCTATTTTTATTTCTGCCTAGGAATATTTTATACTCGGCCGTCATTATTTCCTGCCAGCTATTTCTTTGGATGCGCAGAATGACAGCCAATGAAGTCTCACCTTTATAAAGTGTCGACTTGTATTTGAAATATATTTAACCTGTCACTTGGTGAATGAAATCGTGACTACAATTTTTTTAATTAGAAGTATTCTACTATTCTGCCCACTGTTGCATTACCACGACCACACACAAGACACGCTATTTGGAAGTATTACCGCATTTTGTCGGATTATATGAGATGGCGTCACATTAGTTTATTATATTGCAGGTTCCAAATACATACGCCGCTGTCGAAGATCGCGAGCAAAGTCAACGTATGCCGGCACAAATATTATACGATGGTACCCAAGGACGCGTCATACCCGAGTACCAGGATCCCCCTTCCTCGACTGGCCATCGACATGACATGCCTTAATTCAGACATGAACTCTCATTATTTATTAGAGGTAACTTCAAATTTTCTTTACTATTCGTCCTTCTGTCTCCTTGAAAAACAATATTTTTAATACAACTGTTTTGGCAGCTAAAATTCAAAAAACATATTGGTATAATTAATTATCTAAAAATGAGTAAGTTAAGACGAAAACCAGTGCCCAGTGCTGACTGCACTGTATTATGTATGACGTCATTTGTGAAATTGTATACATAATTTCTTAATAAAATTAACTTACACGATAATTGTAAATAGGAAATTTATAAGAAGCCATTACTTATCTAGTTGACCGCCTGTATTTGATACTAGTTGACTTTGTACCTAGGAGGCCAGTATTCGTATTTTTTTTATTACAGTATAAGAACAATATCCAGCATTTGATTTGGCACTTCGGGAATTAGAGTAGTCTTTTACTCGACGTGCCAACTCAAACACTGGATAGGACAGAGTGGCTTAGGCCTTGGCCAAGTCTCAACTCTTCAGTCCCGCGCCATCTTGACCCAGTCTTGGACTTGAAGCTCTCGTTTAATTTTGCTATGAAGTAAAATATAAAGGTCGATTTATCAATGCCAATTAAACATTAAACAGTGGACCTGATTGAAATATATTTTTATATTTTAAGCTTGCCATTTTTTAAACTTTAAAAGATCGTCAATTATAATGAAAAAGAACTTGAACTTCCATTTTTGTGAATGTTGATTTTCATCATTTATGAAAAGATATATTTTTAATTTTTATTAATTAATTTATAAGACATTTATAATTTTAACATAAAATTTTATTAAAATTTAAAATGTTATTTACAAAATTTCTATTATATATATTTTATTTGAATTTGTTAATCTTGCATTTGTTATGATTTCTTTATAGATTTTTATGTTTTGTTTTATAAATAGATAAATAAGTTACCATAATATTTTACTTAAGATTTAAGTATAAGTTTAAAGTTATAAGTTTCTTTTGATATCGTAAAAATTAAAATAACATATAAAATAGATTTGGTAAGTTTCCATTGAAAAAGATATACGACTAATTTACATCTATAAATGAATTGAAAACCTGATTAAAAGCATAAAACCAAAGACATGTTATTTTGTTATCATTTTCATATTAAAATTATAATAACACTTCAATGGAAAACTGAGATAACCCAATTTTTGGGAATTTATAAATTTTATATAATTAATATAATTTATTTTAAGTACTTATTTAATAACAATGAAATAAAAAAAAACAATATACTTATCATATTTAGATTTTAACATACTTGACAGGTTTTTGGAGTTTACTTGAAGTATTTCAAAATATACAGGTTACTTGGACTGCTGTAAAGTACAAAATGATAGATGCTTTTATTTTTTTATGTTCGTAATGTACTTTTATTTAGAAATAGTTAAATCATGCATCGCAGTGCCAAAATCAAAATAAATGTCAAAAATATCTTTAACCAAAAATAACAACGATTATAAGCAAGCATCAAGATTCATTAATCCATTTTTTCATGTAATTTTTAGGACATAAAAATTATCTTAGATCCTCCGAATACCCTATCAAAATTTCATTAAAATCTGCCCAGTGGTTTAGGAATCCTAAGGAAACAAATGTACAAACATTGATTTTAATTTAAAAATAAAATATTAAAAAAAAAACTAGATTTGACTGTGTAGTATCAGAACAAAATGTTTAATTTTAATTTATCCCAATCTTCTAATTATTTTTGTCCACCATACATTAACCGTGGGTTTCCGAGCTCAAAATCTCCGTTTAAATTATATTGTTATCACAGTGTTGTCAAAGATAATGATATGTATGACGATATATTTTATACAGAAATTTCTGTCTCAGTAGCCCACGGTAAGAAGCATTTTATTGAATTCAATACAAATTCGTTGATCATTTGATATGATTTCCGTCAACCAAATATAACTGTTAGATAATAGAATTCAAAATTTAGTTAAAACGTCAAGTCAATTTCTAATTACCATTGTTTATTCAAATGTTTACGTATATTTAAATTGTGCAATTATTATTATAAAAATAGAAGGATATAGTTTAAACTATTATCTATGAAATCGGCTGTGTTTTTATATATCTTATCGAGTATGATTTATATATTGTAAAAAGTATTTTAATCGAATTTATTTTGTGAACACCACTTGTGGAATGTCAATTGTTTTTAAACTTTTATTAATTTTTACCTTTAAAATTAATTATGAAATAATTTATAGTTATAAAATTAAAATGTTTTTCAACGTTCGTTTATTAAAATTAATAATTTCGTTTGTCCCTTTAAATGGAATACGTATAACATTTTTTTATGTATTCATTTGATCTCTTGAGATAAACAGTTACCAGATCCCCAGTTTTTTAATAGTCTTGTTTGACATTAATTTGATAATCGATACCTTACATAGGCAAATTTTAATAACGACCGCGCGTGCAAGGCTTGGTTGTGAATGTACCATTTGTACAGGCGCTATTATAAACTTATTATTAATTATTCTTATTTACTTTAAGCATATTATCAATAGAAATGTACGCAGAAATACGCGTAGATAAAAAGCTAACATCATTTTTTTTGGAACATTTTGCGGATATCTCTTTTTCTTAGGAATGTCAGAAAGCATTTAAATACATATTTGATGTTGGTTTTGTTTCCGTATTCCGTAAACTTAAGTCTTACTGTAGGTTTCTGACCCAAAATCCCTGTTTAAAACACATTGTTATCTCTATTTTGTCAAAGGTAATGACAGGGATATATTTTAAACAGAGATTTATGCCTCAGAAACCAACGGTTAATCGTATATATGTAGCCGTATGTAAAACAGTCGTTTAATGAATCATAGATTCGTAGATGCTAAAATGGAGGTTTTGACTTCTTAAAGACAATGTAGAAATGAAGGTTATATAACGCATACATGATATCGTTGTGTACCTAAAAACCAAAGTAAGTCTGCCTATTAATGTGGGTTTCCACTGTAGCTACATTTATTATGACACATATTTTCATCTCACACATTCGCTTTCAATAAAACAGAGACGCGTGTCACATAGTAATGAATTACTGCAGGATTCTACAGCTGTACACGTCAAAAAATATTTCCACAGTGGAAACTCACGGTTATAAAGACATTACTTAGATTGTAAATTGTTTTCTTACTACGCACACACGCAATGTTGTAGCCTATATTTATTTTTTTAATAATATATAGTGATTTTTGTGCTGTCTCACATATATTTTATTCGTTTTAATTATATAATCATTTTATAATCGCCTATGTAATCATGTAACCATTTATATCGTAATATTAAATATAGTGTTCTGTTCTTTAAAAAAATATCTCGTGGATTTTTATCATGAAGTAAAATAAATATACCAAGCTATGCTAAAGTCTTTAGGGATTTTTACATGTACCTCATAACATGTGTATTTCTTAGTGTTTCCATTGACAAAACACTTGTACAAAAATTTTGGAATTGTATGAACATATAAAATTATCTAAACATCACTTATTGAATTAAGGAATATTTTACTGTATGAAGACTGATATAAATTTTTACTCGTAAAAGTTTTATTCGTCTATTTGCGATGATAACAAATTAAAGATTTATTGTTTACATTCCCGAGTCTGGTCTCTTCAGTCACTTAGCATAGATTCCTCATACTAATTATAGACTAAGTGGTCGTTGGAAAGACTAAGTATAGTGGTTTATTCAACATTAATAATATAAGAACAGAACATTTATTATGAAGTTTTAAAATAAGTATTTTAAGTTGTGTCACATTATTAAAACTTGACCTGTTACCGTGGGTTTCTGAGACGAACATTTCTGAATAAAACGAATCGTCATCCCTACCTACGTTCATCTTTGACAAAATACAGATAATATTTTTTAAAAAAGGATTTTGGTCTCAGAAACCCCGGGATATTGTTTCGCTTTTTGAATACAGGGTAAAGACAAAGATTTTGGAGTTTCTCATAATTATGACGTATTTCATTTGTAATATGCATTTTGAATCAAACTGTAAATAAAAGATACTATTTTAAGTTTGTTTTGATTTATATAAAATTCATTCGACAAATAAATGGCACATGTGTTTCTTAATTAAATGAATAAATTGTATTCGAAAATTGGAGTTTCATTTGTATACTTAAGGCCATTTAAAGTTTCGTTCATGTCATTTGTTGACCTTTGGACATTCTCCAGTAGTATCCTTTCAGATTTAGTAGCTCCGTGTGAGTTCCACGTTCGATGATTTTACCTTTAAAAAAAAAAAATTTAAAGAAAAACTAAAAATGCGGTAGAAAAATCCATAGTGAAACAATCAGATTGCAAACAAGGAGCCTAAAAAATCAATGAGGTACTCATTAAAATAAATTGGTATAAGGTATAAGTAAACTTTTGGTTAGATGATATAGATTCTATGAATAAGTAGAATAAGGAACCGATTACCTTTTCCCATCAGGCTTACCTTTATCTAAAACACAGATGATGTCCGAATCCTTAATCGTTGAAAGACGATGAGCAATCGTAATACACGTACGTCCTTTGGCAGCTTTTTCCAACGCTTCAGACACAGCCTGAAAAAAAAATGTACGTAAAATATTTTATGTTACCAAATGCGTGACAACAGTACTCAGTCAGTTTTTTTTAACGACACTGTGACGCTCCTGTCAATGGCATCAATAAGATAGAAACAAATATTCACCTTCTCGCTGTTAGCATCTAACGCTGAAGTTGCCTCGTCAAGCAATAGAAGTCGCGGGGATCGTATCAATGCCCTCGCGATACACACCCGTTGCTTCTGTCCTCCAGACAGTTGAGCGCCGCTAGAGCCAAGGTTCGTATCATAACCCTGCAATATATTAAATAAAATATAACCGTCGTAGCATGTCAGAGCATTATCTCTGATAATGAAGACATGCCGTAATATAATTAAGAAACATTCTCGTTACTGTTCTTACCTTGGGGAGAGAAACAATGAAGCTATGTATATTCGCGGCTTTAGCAGCGCTTATAATCTCGTGCATTGAAACTTTACGATTATTGTCACCGTAAGCGATGTTCTCCGCTAAAGTGCGATCAAACAACACCGGCTCTTGCTGCACCACGCCTAATTGTCGTCGAAGACGCGGTAGTGTTAGAGACATACGGATGTCGCGGTTGTCCAATTCCTAGAAACAAAAAAGATTCAAACTTAACCACATCGTAAAATGTTTTTAACGAAACATACTAGCCAGCCCTAATAATGTCAGAACTATATATTACACATAAATTCTTGTTCTTCTCTTTCATAAAATTCTCTTGTTCTTGTTAGACATAAATTTATTGAGTATTTACTTGAATAAGTTGTCTTGCCTTTACCAAGACTTTGACTAAAACTAATGACTAAAATTTCGAAGGCGAGCGAGAAGATACGTGTGATTTGTTAAATGAGGTGCATAGAGACCTAACATCTTTGTCGGTTTTGCATAAAGGCTGATACTTCATATATACGAATGATTGCTGGATTGTTAAAATTAACTGAATATAGTGACTAAATATCAAATTAAAACACATTTAAAATTCTTAATGTTATTAATCTCCGTCCAAATTTAATAAATAGAATTAAATTATACTTAAATAACTTGAACGAGCTTTTGAACACCAAAGTCTGATAGAAAACTCATCTTCAATACGTCTTTTACTTTTCTGAATGCGTTATTCTAAAGCAAATTTAGACATATCACTGAAAATCGTAAATATTAATCAGGGCAACGAGGACCACTTCTTCGTGCAGCCTCCGCATCTTGTTTTTGGATTCTTATTTCCCTTTCCCTCAGTCTGCGTTCCCTTTCAAATTCCATCATCCTCACTATATAGTCGTCATGTTCGCAGTTGAGGTATGCATGTTTCTCATGATGACACAAATGAACAAACGGAAAATGTTTATATCTACAGACTTGGTAATTCAGAAGGCAATGAGAACAGTAATCGCGATACTTTGGCGGAATACGAGCTGAAACCAAATGCTCTTCTTTAGCAATCATAACGCGTTTAGCTCGTCTGAATTTAAAACCGGAGCTGGAATCGAACGTTGGTTTATCGTCTTGATTTAGGTTGAGATGCCACGTCTTCATGGTGCCCATAAGGTGACCCATTTTTTTTTTAATTCGTAACGTACGTAAAACTATAAAAGTTGAAATAATTAAGAATGAAATTAAAAAATGCAAATGTGCTTCTTTGTTGTCACAATTGACAAAAACCAATTCTTCCTTGTGCTGTGGTGTACACGTATATGTCATTGTTTTAAAAAAGTTTCAATTACTAATTTCTAAAAAATAATCGACACCTATAAGAATTCTGATATTGAATCTAATTTGATGGGAACTTACATCTATACTTATATGATTTAATAATAAAAATCTTTTACGTTTATACTTACAATGTTACCAGAATCGGGATCGTAGAAACGTTGCATCAATTGCAATATGGTAGATTTACCACATCCAGACGATCCAACTAATGCTACAGTTTTTCCCGCTTCAACCTTTAGGTCTATGCCCTTAAGAATTTGCTGGTGGGGTCTAGTCGGATAGCTAAATTCTACGTCTTTGATGCTAAAGTTACCAGTTGCAGTCTGAAAAAATATTGAATAAAATTGGTGTCATAATCAAAAAAATAATATAATAATAAAAAGTCATTCTTACCCAATCTCGCCTATCCTTTAAGCCATCCTCTGTCCTAACTTTAGGTTGTCTATGAATGACTGATAGTATTCTTGCACCGCACGCTTTGGCCGAATTGAAGCTAGGAGCATAAACCAGAGATTGTCCTAACATGTAAGCCCCGTACATCAGAGCTTCATTTACCCTATTAAATAAAAAAAATGATAGACTACTATGCCGTTGGTACTTAAAAATAATCTTGTTTGTATTTTAAATAGTATGGCGCGATTCGTAACTAAGGTACATATAATGCAAAAAGTTAACTTACAGAAGTACAATTTTGTATTCAAGTCCCTCGTACGCGACGAGTACTGCACCGTACACTGTCGCACTGCAGTACGACATGAAAGGCACATACACGCCCAGACCGAGCACCAATCCACGCCATCTAGTCTTCTTGGTCATAGCAGCGCCAGCTTCCATCAATCCCTCTTCGAACCTCTTCAAAAATGTTTTTTCCACTCCTAAATCACAAAGTTCTTAGAATAAGTTTATTCACGGATATTTGCACTCGGTTTCATAAAAAAATTAACTAACCCAAGCTCTGGACTGTTCTAATACTGACAACTGCTTCAGTTGCTATTGCAGTTGCAGATTCCATTGCCGCTCGCTCGTCTGTTTGTGATTTTTGCGATACAATTCCTTCTAGCCAGATGCTTCCCACCATCTGTTATTATCAACAGAAAGAAATTAGAAAGAAGACATAATCGCATCCTAAAATCTAGCGCAGTCTACGTGCTAAGAGCTTTTAAATAATGATGATGTTAAGTTAAACAAATCTATTGGAATACTTACAAGTGGCAAGAACGCGGTTCCAACTAGAGTCAACTTCCAGTTGTAACAGATTGCCATTATAAATCCGACAACGACGGAGCTGGTGCCTTGTAGTATGAGGCCTATCCTCAGCCCGGTAGCTCCTTGCACCTCAGCCGCGTCACCACTTAGCCTCGCGCACATCGCTCCGACTGTGTTCTTCTCTTTGTCAAAGAAGCCAATTTCCTAAAATAAAAGCCGTCGGGTTATTATTTAAGTTTTACTTGAGTTTTTTGATGTAGCTATGTACTACAAAATAGCAATGGATTTGTGTTGTAAAATCAGGTTAATTTTTGAGGTGCTTCAAAAGAATGCATCAAAATATGCAATGTTTCTTATCTGTTTCTACTTTGAAGAATTGCAACTGAAAATCTTTCGAAAAAGTAATAACTCACCTGTCTCAGTATAGCAGAAAAGTATTGATGTCTCAATCTTGTTGTCATCTTCAAACCAGCGTGTGTGAACGTCGCACTCTGAAGGAACATTGACACTCCAGCTACAGCTGCCACAACCACAAACATACCCGAATAAAAGTCTGCCAGGTAAATAATCTCGCTGTGATCCTTTAGAACGAATATCTGAAATCAAACAACAACTTAAGAAATTCATTCGAATTTCCATTTGGAGGTATCCTGACATTTATACATCAACGCATATGTGATCGTCACTAACGGCTAAAATCTGGAATAATAAAAAAAATATTTTCCTTATAAATATACTCTCATGTTTCACTATTTAATAAAAAGTATCGATTTATCCTTCAAGTTTGTAATATCTCGGTTTATTAATATTTTTAATGTGGATTAATTATAATACTCACACCACCAGTGTAACCAAACAAGAGGGCAAATATTGGGAAGCAAGCGCCTTGAACAAACGCAGCGATTGAGCCGACTACAATGTACGGCCATTCTTTTCCGTTGAGCTTCAGAAGTGCCCAGTCACTAACGGGTTTGATTTCCTGAAAAAAAAAATGTTTTAAAATTTTACGAATAATTCCTGTGTTAGTGTGTTTCATAGCATCGGTTATTTTACGTTACGTAACTAGGGCAGATCTATGACAATTATTAGAAAATGTTATGATTGAATAGGCATACATTTGATCCAAAATGTTAGTTTTGGTAACTTACTTCATCGTCATTGTCCGCTTCATCTTCAGATTCGAATTCACTGTTGAACACCATGTTCTGAAGGCCGGTCGATATGACAGAACTTATTGAACCGCGTGGTGTCATCCAATCGTGTGATTCTGTTAAAATTATAAATTAGAAAAAACAATTTGAATTTAACGATAATATTTTGAAGGTCCACACTATTTTATTAATATATTTATAACCGAAACAATATAATGAACAATATTCTGAAAAATGTTTTGAGACGCAATAGTTCTTCTAGCTTATAATAAGATTGGTCGTCAAAAATGATCTTTAATACTAAAAAGTACTACTTGTGCACGATGTCTCTAGATAATTGAGATGGTCTTCACCTAGTTAAAATGCTAAAAACTCAATTTTAACATTTTCAATTCACTTTATCTCATACATTTAAATAGGAAATAAGGACAGTTATTGTGCAATGTTTTTGGATGTTCATGTATTTTTTGGGTTAACAATGTATTTAGGTACATGTTGATTTCTTTTTATTACATTTTTTATCTTTTGATGACGAATATTAATGAATTTAATTTATCTAGCATTCTTGTCATGTACTTTTAACAATAAAATAAGTTGTTATAATAAGTTTTTTTTATTTCATTTGAATGGATAAAAAGTTATGTCAACAGTTTCGGAGATTTGCAAATCTAATTATAACATCTCAATTGGTTAAACCATATAGACGTATAGCTTCGCCTATGCCAACGTCACGACCAAACGAACGAAGTTGCGAGTGTTAAAATAAAGATTTTTAAACATAAATAAAATAGATATAGTATGTTAAATATCTTTAACTATAAAGAAATATACATAAATACCTCGTTTAATGGAATGATGTCTGTGCAATCGTCGTGTAGATCTGCGTTTCACATCAACTCTTGGTACCAAAGCTGCATCTCCATTCTCTACGACGCCGTCACCTTCCTCAGGCAATGTCTCTATAACGTCTGGTTCTTTGTTCTCGTTACCAGTCGTTACCAATTTGTGATAGAAACCTAATGTTTATTAAAATAATATTTATCATGTTATTCATACTTTATAGTTACAATTATAGCTGCAATTTCTTTCTTGTTATGAATTAAGCAGTGACAATGTAAATATTTTTATTGTGTTCCATTAAAAACAGTCTTCATCTCAATTACCTTTGACTTTCATAAGTTCTTCGTGTGTCCCTTGTTCAACAATAGCGCCCTGATCCATGCATATGATACGGTCAGCGTTTACAATCGTTGATAACCTATGAAATAAAAAGATGCAATTGAAAGAATAAATCAGAAGTGTATGCTTATCCAAACTTTGTGGTGACACGTAATTTTCACAAGATACCTTAATACAAATTTGGAAAACGGAAACTTTTTCATAGTACCTGTGTGAAACCATGATCGTGGTTCGACCGGCACTAGCTCGGTCCAGCGCGGCTTGTACTTGCCGCTCAGAATGCGGGTCAAGGGCTGAAGTTGCTTCATCCAGTAGTAACACGGCCGGTTCGCGCAGGAGCGACCTCGCTATAGCTATCCTCTGCTTCTGTCCACCAGATAGCGAAGCACCTCTTTCACCAATCACTGTGTCGTAACCCTGAAACATTGATTACGTTTACGTAAGTAAGATGTTATTATATATAGATGATACGTTATGATTTACCATAGAAAGTAAAATGAATAGACATCGCAAAAATAAAGACACTTACATTAGGAAGATGAGTAATGAACTCATGTGCATACGCCATCTCTGCAACTCTTTGAACCTCTTCCCTTGTCGCTTCAGGAATACCGATTGAAATATTTTCGAATATCGTCCCTCGGAACAGCACTGGCTCCTGACCGACAACACCTAAAAATAAAGAATATATATTTTACAATAGCACATTAAACTGTAGGCAACTTTGAAAACAAATTAATTTTTTTCAGAGTGCTGGTTGTTCTAGAAATCTTAAGATCTTAGTGTTAAAATAAATTATACTTGAGGACATTAGGACTAGAAACATTTCATGTTGTTTGTCTACATATTAAAGGTATTCTGTTCTTTATGATTTCATTGTAAAAAAAAAATGAAAAACTTCATTGAAAATCAAAATCCGAAATCCTCACTTGCAATCAATGTTGCGAAAGATATAATGTTGTTATTATTGTATTACCTAAACTAGATCTGAGCCATCCTAGATTTAAACTCTTAACGTTCTTCCCGTCTAGTTTGACAGTCCCCAGCAATGGGTCGTATAATCTCTGTAGTAACTGCAGAATAGTACTCTTGCCGCAACCTGAGGAGCCAACAAGCGCGACGCATTCACCTGCCTTAATGTGCAGGGAGAATCCTTGGAGTACCTGACAAATAGATTTATTTGGTTAATACCAAATATATATTTAAACTTAGACATAAGCTAATCATTTTTACTATACCAAATAAACTTTATACTTAAACTATGTAAATTTTTAATTAACTAAAAACTTAAATCTTTAGAAAGGTTATATCAAAAAGGCAATCACTAATTGATGTATCGTGATGATGTATCGTTTTTTCATATTGTCAGTAACATTTGTCACTTTTGGTTAATTATTCAGTTATCAATTTAATATACCTCAAGTATGATAGGAATGAGGGTCTCGTGACATTTCTAAATAATCCAAAAATAATAATTTCAACCTCTGTGCGATCCTTACTTTTGGTCATATAATGAGTAAGATGTAAGCGGTCGCGATTATAATATGATCTACAAGCAAACAAATGAAGGATCGATGAAATGAAGAATATTAGCAAAGGAAATTACGGTATGAGGATACCTTAACATTAGGTCGAGATGGATAGCTGAAGTGGACATCATCAAACTTGATGTCCCCTAGAACTCTTCGTGGCATAAGACCTCCTTTATCCAGGCTGTCAATCGTTGGCTCTCTGTCTAATAACTTGAAGATACTAGCCGCAGCTCCCCGCGCCGCTGCGAATACTTCCGCGTGAGGTACGCAGAACGTTATCGACTGAGTTGCCATATACACGCTGAATAGAATCTACGAATAAAAGTATGTAAAATAAAATATATTTGACCGTGAGTTGATCATCAGAACACTTGTACAAACACATATTATTTCTGTTGAAAAAGAGACTAAGAGGTATGTAATATATTTTATTTTGTTTTTGCCCTTTTGTTGGTGTCGCTTAATTCAAGTTTATTAAATTTTAAAATAAGCAAACACAACTTTAGTTATTAAGTCAAAATTCCTTTAATTTAAATTACTTACACTGAATACAACTCCGACAAGATACTTCCTTTCGTCAGTAGGTTTCTCCCAATCGATGAGGATAAGTCGAGCGCCATACGTGAGGCCTATTGCATTCAATGAATATGTAAGTACCCAATTAAAGCCAGTTCCCAAACCAGTGTATAATCCTCTTTTGCGCCCGTAGCGTTCGGCGGGCTCGAGTAAACGACGATATCTATGGTAAAATTAAAAAAATTAAGAACTATTGAAAATAATAACATCAATAGGTACTTTTATTAACTAAGAATACATAAGAGTATTCTGTATTACCCAAAAAAATTAAATAACCATTATAAATTTTCTTTTGGGTAATTTAAAGTAACAAGGCTTAGCGGTCGAAGCGTAAGTGCGTTATTTTTACTAATTTCAAAATCCAAGAATTTATTTTTTATCTGAGAAGAATATAAATTGTACGTTACGATACGTCACCGACCAATCCAAATATGAACATAAGTGCCATAAATATATTGTAACGAGAAAAAAATTAAAATCTAATTACACTAATAAAAACAAATTAATTCAAATAGTATGGATCAAAGTTAGCTGTGTTAGTTTCCTACAAATAATAAAGACGCAATATTACTTTAATCATTTGTAAATATTTACGAGACATAACGACACTTATTCTCTTGACAATGAAGTTAAAATGATAACGGAATTGAGTTTTCAGTAAAGGCATTATTTGAATAACAAAGATTAAACAGTTATAAAGGCAGCACATGAAGAGCGTGATTCAAAACTGGCTTAGATTTTGAATGTTAATCTACTCAATTTTTTACAACTAACGCTGAGACAATGTTACAAAAATAAATGCTTCTTCTTCCTGACCTTATTCTGGTTTTGGCAGATTTTTTTATATAATTTAATGCTTGTTGAACATTTTTAAAAAACATAATTTCTTAAGAAAAGTTTTAACGACAATTATCATTATACTTGTATCTATTTCCTATTTAAATTCATACATAATTTTACCAATATTATTAAATTCCCAGTTAGTATATTGCACAATTTAAATTTATATATCATCGATCACGCAATATACGCATGTATCCGGAAATATTGCGCAATTTTGTGTAAAATTAAATGATTATTCCAGTACTACAATGCTTACTATTAAAATCTTAATAAAATTACATGATAATTAAATTGTTGACAACGCGCGAACATTACACATTTTAGATGAAAGTGCAATAACCTCTGTTCACCTTTACTAAAATTAGTTAGTAAGTCATTACTAATTCTAGTATAATTACTACTTTTTAATTTAGTAGTTTTCTACTAGATGTCAGGAGACTGGCAGTTATATTCTAGTCGTGTGAATAACCCAATTATTTTCATACTAAATATCCATACATTGGTTGCACAATCTTATTAAAACCACAATCAAAGTGATGTTATGAGAGTCCTTCAAATAACTCTCTTCATGATCATATCATATCTGATGGTAATAAATACTATATCGTACAATAAGAGGTAAGAGTAATATTGCGCAATAGATAGTTATAAAATCTGTTGAATTAATTCTTATCATCTACACGTTACAATATGAACATCTCAGTGAGAAAGAACTCACCTGTCAACCTCTTTGGTCTCTCCGCCAAATGCAACAATAGTTCTTACAGATTTTAATACTTCTTCCGCTTGCTTACCAGCTTGACTGTAAGCGTTCATCTCTCTTATTGATGACTTCGTTTGATACTGCGGATAAAATAATATATAATATATATAATAATATAATAATATCATAGATATTTCACAATATACACAACAAAAAATAAATAAAATGACATTTTGTCTATTGCAATCTAAATATTCGAAACGTGATTAAATCGCTATGAAAAATTAACAATTGTTTCTGATCACCATTACAAGCAAAAAAGTTAACTAACAATTACTTACGTTTGATAAAATAATGGAAGCTGTGATAGAGAAAGGCACAACAGTGATGCAAGCCAATGTTAATTCCCAGCCCATTGGAAACGATTGGCAAAGGCACAGGATAGCAGTGCCCGCGAGATTAGCAACAACTCCGAGTTTCTCACCCATACCTTCTTTGAGCTTCATCATATTTCTGTCAAAAAACAGTTTTAAATAATGTTTCAATTTCAACCGATTAGTGAATGCAAGCATAAATAAAACAGATAAAAGGGATTGGAATGCTCAGGAGTCACTAAAATTAGTGAAGTCGTTTATTTTTAATTACTAGTATCAAAATTAAATAATGTTTGGAATATAAATAAAATAGTTTAATTTTGCAACTCACTCCGACATCTTCGAGGCTAAGTTGAACTCGGAGTCAGTGTCGAACCATGCCATGTCTTGTCGTAGTACCGCTTCCAAAAACAACATGCGTATTCTTGTTATCTGGTGGAATACGACATATATTACAAGAGTATTTCTATCTTCTATTACTACATTAAAACTTTATAATGATTTAGCAGTTGCCTGCGACATCTGCGCCGAATTTTAAAAATAATCTAGTAAGGAATATATTCTATATCACCAGGGGATAGGTAGCTTTTAACAGTGAAATATTTTTAAAGGCGTTTCTGTACTTTCGGAGCCTATTCAATGCAAACAAACAATCCAATCTTTCTTCTTTATAATATTAGTATAGACATTAACTGGTTTGACTGTAAAAGAACCATTAGAAAAGACCGTAAGTAGAAGTTTTTCTTTGTTGTTATTTTTATGACTTGCGTGTCAGTAACGTAGAAAATGTATGGATACGAAAAATAGTACAAGTACATAATGATGAATTGTAAACGAATATAAATTCAAACGAATCATAACGCAAAGGAAGAAAAGTTGAATATTAAATGTCTTGTATGTTGACGATTTTATTTGAAATTTATTAATTTAACCTACAAGTGTTGGAAAGGTGAAGTTAATAAAACATAGGCACGTGCAAGACTAACGACCTGATGGAGAATAAATTATTTGTTTGCCTGTAAATCGATGCGAACGTCGGGACAATGCGCCGCAAGGTCATTAATTTATGCAACCACTTTAGTTGCGCTTGCGCAAAAATTCCATAACAATAAAGCTCATGTTGGTTATTAACCAATATTATGTAGTTTGGTTATAACATATGATAATCTATCAATTGGACAAAATATACTATGTATAAACAATTAATTCATAGATTGATAAGAGGTGTGTGATAAATCTTTTATTGACCGTTTTGTAATTGCGGTATATTTGTTAAATTTTTACGGGTACTTACTTGTCTTAAAGCACTCCAACTGAGAAGTCCAACAGAAAATATGCAGAATATGAGTGAGATGCCGATAGAGACAAACATTCCGATACACATCGCTTTTGCGTCTTCCACTAAAGCTTCCATATTCTCTTCATGTGAGGCATTAAACCTGATTAAAATAAATATACAATAAAAATAAGCGTTAGACTTATAGCTGCAGCACAATTGGCACTCTTGACCACTACAATACCACGACCACACAGAAGACACGTTTAGTAGAAATCTTTATGCCGCTTTTCTATTAATTAATGAAGGTCGGGAAGCAAAGTCAAAAAGCGTCAATAGCCTAATGGTTAAGGGTACGAATTCCCGATCACGAGGTCGGGGGTTCAAATCCCGCCATTCGACTATTGTCGTAAACCACATCCTAGGCTTAGAGCTTATTTGGAATGGTTAAAGAAATATTAGTAAATTTACAAAAAAAAACTGCTAATACTTAAAAAAAAGATGAGGGATAAATAAGAAAAGTAAAAAATATCCTTTAATAAGAATAATAATGGGAAAACTTCAGTTTAATCTCTTCTCTATCTATTTAAGGTAATAAATGGTGACATTTGCAACACATTATGTGGTCTGCTTGCTGGTTTTCCTAATTCGATATACTACTTTTCTTACAGTCGTCTCCCGCCACCAAACAATGTTGTCAATGGTAAATAGCTGGAGAGCTGGTCTTGGTTGGCCGTCCTCTCGACGAATGATGTGCTAAGCTCGCCGAACTGTACGAGATTGTAGCACACACCACCGCCGCTTAGAAGACCCAGCAGGATCCCAGTGATGGTCGCTAATGCCTCCGTACAAGTCGCATATCGAAACTAAAGAGGAAAGTTATCATTCTGTAATTTTCTTGTCATGTCTACCTTACTCTTGTTCGTGTCAAAACAACAGAGATGTGTTTTTATACAGGTATTTTGTGTGTGGATACTTTGAAAATAGCGTGTTAGTATCATAACGTTATATTTTTTAGTAATTCAGTCATTACAGTTTTGTCATTAGTAGATTAATTTTTGCACGCAATGTTTTTATACTCATTGTTCCTGACTTCTTATTTGACGATACGTTAAATAATTTCGTTCAGCAAATAAATAAAGGGTAATGGATTTGATCGCGATTTTTTATAACGTTAATTGATTATCGATTCAAGACTCTGTTTGGCAATTGCTCCTGACTACGTACAATTTTACTGCGTACATCACAAATTATTATTAATAAATTACAATATAATCTCTTGATTTCTTTTGGTAGATATATGTATGTAGAAAAACTACGTGGAATTGTGTTTATAGTAGTATTGAAATCAAATAAATTACTTACTATTTGAAAGTAGGATACTTTGTATTCCGGTTCTGGCGTTGGTCTGAAAACAATAGAATATATTGTTATTTTTATAAAGCACAACCATGAGTGCACTGTAACGAAGGGACTGAGTTCAAACATTCGGAAATTGTATGTTCCGTTGCCTACTATTTCTAATTTAGGGATTATAATAAAAAATGCATTAACAAAACTAGACTACTATCGGCAACTAGAAAAGTAATCAATGAAGTTTTCATAAGGACGGTATTAGGAAGTACGCGCAATCGACGAGCGAAGATATAAAGATGAGCCAAGAACTCGAACTTGTCCATAATCTCTGTCTACTTCTTAAAATATAACAGTGAGTTTTTTTAATTAAATGTTTGTACGGACAACTCTGTAAATACATACATAAATAAACAGGTTGTATAATATGTTACAAACAAATCATTTAGCGGCAAACATTTGCGCGTACAAAGCACTTGGTCTTGATTAACTTTTCGTATCCAATGAAAGGAAGCAATTGATATGATTGGCGGGGGTCAACTATGTTGTGGCGAGTCATCATAAAACCATATTAGTATATAGATATCATTGATGCAGACTTCAATATTATGTTCATAATCATTACAACTAAATGAACAGTAGTATTCATGATAAAATCGGTAAATAATGACCTTCCGCATTCCTGCAACTTACGTACGTATATTAAAGACGATTTTTTGATTTATGAACAATACTAAGTGTCGCGCAAGACTCCATGTGTACGGAATTAAAGAAAAAAAACTTAAACAGTAGCCTATGTGTTATTTCAGACTGATGTCTACATTTATGCAAAATTTTAGCAAGATTCATGCAGTCGTTCTGAAGATAACTTTAAACAAATATCCATCCATCTATCTAAATATTCGCATTTATCACAACCGGTGTTTTTGGGTGTATATTTTGAAAAAGCTCTATTAAACTACTTCGTAGCTATGTGTTTTAAAATCATATTACTAGAAGTTGCCGGAGACAACGTCCACGCGGAATGAAAAAAAGGTCTTGACAGACGGACGGATGGACAACAAAGTGATCCTATAAAGGTTCCCTTCGAAGCCTATCGAATGCAAATAAATAAACAAGCCTTCCTTTTTGTAATATTAGATATTTGAAAGTTATTTCTTAGATGCACAATTTGCGTAATCTATTAAAAAATTCGTTAAAGTGTTTTGTTGCTGTTTACTACATTTATATATGAGTAACAATGTTAATATTAAATTAATTACGTGTCAAGTGGTGTATTAAAATCTTATCTACTGTTAGCGCACTTAGGAAGTATTACTATGTTGAATTAAATGTTTTGTTAAACTAATATCAAACATAGTAAACAATTGAAAACATTCGAGAAAAGTAAGTACCTACACGAAACTTTATTCGTTGGATTTACAATATTTTGTAAAGAGGTAAAAGCTGTCGCCCGTGACTCCATCTGCGCGAAATTAAAAAATATAATAGTAGGCTATGTGTATGTTTCAGACTATGTTCTAAAACTATGCCAAATTTCTGCGAGATCAATCCAGCTTTCTTGAGATACCTTCTAACAAACATCCATCCTTCCATCCATCCAAATATTTGCATTTAAAATATTAGTAAGATTTATTACAAGAACCGTGTTTTACTTTTCATTAATTCGTAAAATGTAGATAAAGGAGATGAAAACTTACAAAATCTGTATAGTCTAAAATTACTTCAGCTAAAATTAAATGTTATTTAAAATGAGTTTTAAAGTATCAATATTTGTTGTTGTATTTATTTATAAACTCGCTTTCAGCTTTGTTACAAATGTTTCTCTACGATTATATTGAATTTTCATAGCAAAATTTCGCATGCAAAGCGCTAAGCAAATTACTCATTTAAAGAAAATATGTGTAAGGATTATACTAAAATTTATTTAAAAATTAATAAAAAAAATATTGTGTATATACAAAAAATTATTAGTAAATAAATAACGACGCTACTGAAAACTGTAACAAATTTCAGTTAGAATATTCGCTATTATTTTCATAAAAATTGTACTTACTCCTTTTTTTTCTTTATTCCCATGACTGTCGTATATAAAGGCGATTTCCTACAAGGTTATAAATATCTATTAGTTACTGTATATGTTAAAGTTTATGATAAATAATAATTGGAGCACGACTGCCTTGCGCGACAGCCGTTTACTGTAAGGCACGGCGCGGTTTCAGGCATTTTATATATATAAGTTTGCTTGCGCTATATGAATAGCTGAGCGTATATGAATTGTCGCTGTCAGCAGAAACTGATTCTGAGTCTGAGTCTTGAAATTAAAATTGACGCGACGAAAGTCGTATATCCATTTTTATATTCTCTTAAAGTGATTGTTTATAAATATTACAAAATAGGACAATTTTTGGTGCAACTTCAAAAAAAAATTGGAAGAAAAATCATCGTCTTCCATACTTCCTTCATATTTTTTCATCAATTCACACTTTCGGTCACTTAATTTTATAAACTGTGTGCATAATTATAAAATGTCATTACTATGGCTAAGAAAACCCTTAACAGTACAAACATTTGAATGGTCACACTCTGAATATAACACGAATTTTCTTTATTTCTACTGTTGATAATATGCAAAATAATCATCCTCAGTTCACTATATGTCCCCACCGAGAGGCTCGGAGCCTACCCTAAGTTAGGGGTGACTAGGTCATAGTCAACCACGCTGGCCAAGTGCAGGTTAGTTGACTTCACACATATCTTTGAATTTCTTCTTAGATATGTGTAGGTTGCATCACGATGTTTCCCTTTACCTAATAAAAAGATATTAACGATTTTGTCTTTGTTAAAAATCGAACCTAGAACTCATAATGCTAGTCAACATTGTGTTTATGAAAACCAGTACAATTGAAAATAACTCACGACTTAAATAAAATTAATTCGTCATAGTGTACGCTCTAAACGTGTTGGTACGATATGAAATGTGTCGATAACACTCTTATTTCAATATTTTGTAAGGAAATATACACTGATTCATCATTGGAATTACGCATGTAACTTTTAACTAGAGTAAGCAGAGTTAAAAAATAAAATATACAGTTGAACCTGAGAGAGCGAGAGTCCAACGAATTGTGATATTTATTTCAATAATGAAAGTCATTCACTAGGACAAATAACTTTCGTTTGTAAATAGAATTTTTTTTTTATATCACAAGGTGGCAAACGAGCGAGCGGCCACCTGAAATCGCTAAAACAGCGAAGTGACCGTTGCCCATAGACATACGCAATTGCATATGCGTTGCCTACCTTAAATCGACGGAGAAGAGGATGCACAGAAAGAAAATATTTTCCCTTTCCATGCATCCTCTCATCCGGAAAGTCCACTTCCACTTCCCATCCTTTCCTTATAAGAAAAAGGGTGGGAAGGGAAAGAGGACTAATTTTGGCCTCCGGGACGCAAACGAATTTTCTTGTTTATCCTAGTTCGACTGTTAGGTTTTATAGCAAATGCATTGGACGCTGGTGTTGACTGCTAAAAGAATTCGATGTAATTCGCATCTCAAGCCTGTAGTGAGTCACTTTATCGACGGAGCTAATTACCCATTTATATATTAGATGTTTTAAAATATTATGCAATTTTCATTATAAGAGGAAGCCTTTATAATTAGTGGTAACTTTCAGCAAAGACTTATTCGGATTAAAGATAGTAAATTCAAACAATTGATATTCATTAACATATATTAATAAAGAATTAACTAATCATTTCCATAAAAAATGCATAAAAATATTTATTCAGAAAGCACTTTTTTAATCTTTAAATGATTGTTACTGAACCTAACGTAATACAAAGACGCATCTCTGATTGCGTTTTATTTTGAGTCATTGTAAAATCTACGCAGTGGTTTATGAACGCAATATCAATTAGATAATTGCGCACAATGTTCAATCTTTTAATCTCCGTCAAGAAAATTCTTTCTCTACACAATAGTGAAGTAAAACATTATTATTGACATGATAAGGTAAAGGATTTGTTAATGATAAGCTGCAAGCAAACAGGATCATTTGTTCAGTGATTTGTATGAAATGAGCGCACGCGTTCCTATTTTGAAAGGGTAAAACTGAATTAATCTAGCGTTATCAGGTACATGTTACTAGCAAATTGTTAACGAAGCCTGCATGTAAATTGCCTAGGAAAATTTTCACATCGTATATCATACATCGAAGTTGTGTTATCAATAATATATGTATGATGATTTTTAATCAATAAGTCGAAAATTTTGTATTTGTATTCTATAATACAAGATGTAATAATTTTTTTAATTTAAATATTGACCCTTAGTTGTTATCATATGTTTTTGAAAGCATCCAATCATCGGTGATTTCCAATGGTACTACCATAAAAGAAATAAAAAATCAAACATGATTTAAAGCCAAGAAAAGAATAGGCAATAAATCTGTAAAACATCATATTGTTATCTCTATTTTTATCGAGAACAAAAGGAATAATCACAATATGGCTGTCTACGTTTTCGGCAGTGAAAACTCACGGTTAGAAGGAAATAGTTCAGTTCTAGAAAATAACACGCCGATAAACAATCAAGTGGCAATTGACTCGCACTGTCTTGTGTCCTTGTTATTTGTAGCGACTAATTCAGACCATAAACATAAAGCTATCTAGTACTGATGTCACTTTATATTGCACAGCTATTTGAAATTCTGTATTTAATAGATCTTACTTCTTACTAATATTATAAATGCGATTGTTTAGATGGATGGATGTTTGTTTGAAGGTATTTCTGGAACGGCTGAACGGATCTCGATAAAATTTGGCATACATATAGAACATAGTCTGGAAGAACAAATAGCTACTAATTATGTTTTTTTTTTTCATTCCGTGCAGTCGGAGTCGCGGACGACAGCTAGTAGTATAATCGTAAATTTCAATGGAAGAAATTTTAATAAAATCAATCGCGAATTGAGCCAAAAAAAACTATATGCAGAATAAATTAAGTATGAAATTTTGGTGTTTAGTGAATTTTTCCAGTTTTATCTTTTATGGAATCAACACTATCAATATTCTTCGCATACAGTGTTGAATGGCTAATATAAAAAGAGTTAAAATTGTGTAACATAACATAAAGAAATAGAGAAAATTGTATCTGAAATACTAAAGTGTAAAGAGTTTAAAAAGTTATACCTACTTCAGTTTCAACTCTCAAGTTTCGTCCAAATTATATAATGTATTTGCTTCTATTATAAAGACTATGAAACAAAATTAAAGCGCAATTCTTCTCAATGCCAACTAAATAGTAACATTTATTCGTTCGTGTCAAATGATCGCTGATGTTTAGTTGCCATCAAACGATTGCTTGATTTTTGTCCTTCGATGCTTTTTAATATAGACATTGGAATCAATGAGTGCTAGTTTATTCTTTAAATCAATCGCTACATTTGTTCCTATGAGTATAATAAAATTCGTAGTAAATTAACTTACGTATTCAGTAAATTAAAACCTATCAGTTCAAATTACGTAAAAATTTAAAATACGCTCATCACAAGTCGCGTGAACACTATATTTGCCGACATAGACTTATAGCAGATAACGTAAATTAAAAGAATGTAATAAAATTTGCAATTCTAAATTTAGTTTACTTTGCAGTCCATTGAACTGACTGACACACTTTTATAATTTTTCATATACATCATTGTAGTATTTTATAAATATTGTTACAGTGTCATCAGTTTTTGTGTCCCCACGGAGAGGTTTGCCAATAAACTGGTGACTTGGCCTTAAGATCCGTTCGCGAAACCCTAGGCGTCTTTTTACGCATACACTTGATAAATAAAATGATCAAAGCAAAATTAATCATTGGTTCATTCGTATAAAGCTCAGTTTTATTTGCTTTGCTCTGCTTTCCGCTTAAGTCCGTCTAAACGGACCTTTAGCTATCCACGCTGGTCCAGTGAGGGTTACTTAACTTCACAAACATCTTCGTAAATATGTGTAGATTCATCACGATGTTTTCCTTCACCTTAAGAATTTTGCATAAATGTACATATCGAATAGGAAAAATGAAAAACACATTGGTAATCGGAGCTCAAACCTGAACCTGTAGATTAAAAGATCCGAGCTTAACTCCTCAGCTATTGACGTACCTAATAGAGTTAATCGCATGAAATTATTATACTATTTACATATTTGAGATGAATGTACTTAATTATGTTGCTATTTTCTTGGCAGACGAATAGATAAACACGTGGATATACTAAGGCGATAATATTACAATAAGGTGATAACAGAATACACATTCGAGCAAGAAATTATCTTTGCCAGACGGAATTGACTAATACTAGTTTAATCTTTTTTGTATAAATTCATATTAAAGTTCACTGAACTATCTTGGGACGGTGGATTAACGATAAACTATACAAATTAATTTCTTACTAGATTACGTCCTTAGCATTCATTTTTAATTTAGCAAGCCTTTTAAAAAGAACCCATGCCCATGACATCAATTTCTCATTTCATTCGGTCTCATAACGATCTGAAATCTAATAATTTACTAAGAACATTATAGAAGATAGTGCCATTGAAAGTATTCTTACCAATATAAAAAACCGAATGTTTTTTTTATTTGACGTTTGATGTTATGTCAAGAAATACCATCGGTATTGGGATCTAAATTGTTGCGTACTAAAACGCATAAAATTGATGCGCCTACTTATATGTGTCGTGTAATTTTACATATGAAACAATTGCTATAATATTGTATCAGGGTAATACGAAAATTTCATAAAAGTGATCGAAAGCTATGTCTACCCGCTAATTAAAGGAAATCAATGTGAGTTTATTTTGTTTAATATTATTATATATTAACAGAAATTTATGTTATAATAATAATTTTTTATCATTATCGCAGTATTTAAAGAAATGGGAGGGACGGGATGTCGGAGTATTACGTACAAGTGTTTGGACAATGAAATTTGTAAAATAACGGCGATTGTAAAATATTAGGATGTCTAGCTTGGGCAATGGTTATATCTTTTAAAAGATATTTCTTAAATTTTCCATCGAAATAACAAATCAAATAAAGTTATTTTATACAAATGTTAGTAATTCTTAAAGATGCATTTCTATTTCTGAGCTTTTAGAATAATTTAATTTAATTTCCGACAAAAAATTAATACATAGAACTAGAT